AAAGTGTTAGTTAGAAACTCGGCTCTTGAAAGCACATGGTCTGGGCAACTGGGAAAGAGATTCAAAGGGCCTTACAGGATCGCTAAGCGGGTGGGACTGAATACATTCGAACTTGAGGATCTTGATGGTACTAGCATAAGAGGACCATTTCCGGGACAGAGACTGACCCGATTTTTTAGCAGGGATCCAGTGGAACAATGGTTACAAGAAGCCCAGGACAGAGAAACTGGGGAACTAACAGCCTGAAAGCCAGGCAGCTGGCTATAAGTTCTGGACCGCCTCCCTATGGAAGTGATAATGACCACAGGGATTGTTCTTTTGTGTGTCTTGCTTTTGTGGAACGTGGGGGGACTGCCTGGGCTGACTGTGACTGGGCTTGGGAGCACGACACAATGTATTATAGTTTTTGTGGGGTAACGCTGGGGACTGTCTACACGAGGTATTTTATGTGCTGGGACAATGTACCATAATTTTTGTGGGGTGATGCTGTGGTCTGCCTACATGGGGCACCTATGTGTTGGGACAATGTGTCGAGGGTTCTAAGGGATAATGGGGCTACCAACTATATGGGGGCAAGCAAAAGTTCTAGGGAAGCCTCCAAAAGCTGCAAATGGGAGTGGAAGGGAATGCGTGTGTATGAGGGGTATTGTGACTGTTATGTATGAACAGGGTCAGGCAAGAAGAAGGAAGACAACAAAAAAACAAAAAAATGGAGTTTGGGAATGAAAATGACAACAATGCAAGTAACAGGCCGGAAGAGGGACAGTCGTCAAGGCAAGCCGGAGAGTCAAGCTCCAGGAAAAGGAAGTTGTATGAGGGGCTCGATCACAACCTAGTTGTGAACAGGGGGGGAAAAAAGCAAGGGACCAGAGGACCATCACCACTGAAGGAAGGGGAGCCAATAGAGGTGCCTTCAGACAGTGATCCTAGTAATAAGGAAGCGGGGAACCCAGAGGAAGGACAACGAGGTGACGTCGGACGAAGAAAAGGGGCATGGAGAAATAAGAAAAGGAGGAGAAGTCGGGCGCCAACAGAAATTGTCGACAGAACGGAGAAGATGGGCGCGAGGCGGGAAAAACGGAGGGCACCTGGGGCAATCCAAGGGGATCCTGGATCAAATGCAACAACAACATAAATAAAATAGCATGAC